AAAAGACTAGGTTAACTAGGACTATAATTGCTATTGGAGTGTGTGGTATTGTATTCCCCAAAATATTGTGCATGCTAATAAACTTATCTGGGTAAGGGGAGGTTAATTTTTAGTAGTTGAGTGATGATAGTTCATTTTGGTGTAGTTTAAATCCTTTTATTTCTAGGGTAATAGGAATCAAACCTACATCTAAGAATGCAAAATTCTTCGTGCCACCTAAACACCTTATCCTAATAATAGTAAGGCCAGCTTATTAAGCTCTCAGGTGTGCAGTTTAAGCTGCCTCCAATTCCTTGGTATACCAGTGCTAAGGGAAGATCAGGAGCAGGCAGAAAGGACCATTAAGGGTCCTTTATAGCCCAAGCTGACCTCAAAACCATAGCAATACTGCCTCAGTCTTCCAAGTGCAGTATTGTCTTATTTTGAGGGTCTCAATCAATCTCATGTGGCCCAGGCTAGCCTCAAATTCAAAATCTCCCCATCTCCAGCACCTGAGTTCTGGGATATGTGCCCTCATATTCTACTGCAGCTTTTCCAGAACAGGGTGTGATGTCAAACAGCTATCCTCCAACCTACTCTAGGAGTAGAGAAGGGTGACAATTTCAAGGAGTCTCAGAAACTTGTGAAGACCCTGTGCTGGTAGTTTAAATGAGAATGCCTCTATAGGCTCATGTTTGAATGGTTGGTGCCTGGTTAGCAGAAATGTTTGGGAATAATTAGTAGCCCTCAGCTACTGTTCGAGCACCATGCCTGTCTGCTTCCAGACATGATTTCATGGACTAACACTGTAAGCAAACCCCCAGTTAAATGTTTTTTGTGGTTTGTTTGTTTGTTTGAAATAAGAGTTGCCTTGGCTGCCCCTTTCTGAAAGGAGACAGAAGAGGAGGAGTGGATTGGGGGAGTGGATAGAAAGGAGGTGGAGGAAGGGAGGGGAAACTGTAGTTTGTATGTAATGTAAATGGAAAACATTATTTAAAAAGATTTAGGGCTGGAGAGATGGCTCAGATTAAGAGCACCAACTTCCAGAGGTCCTGAGTTCAATTCCCAGCAACCACATGGTGGCTCACAACCATCTGTAATGAGATCTGGTGCCCTCTTCTATATACATAA